TAATGGTGTGGACCTAGGAAGTGGTCAGGAAGATAGGAACATCTACTTTGGAGATAACATTGACCAGAGTTGGAGAAGGCTTTAATCCTGGAGTCGGGCAAGTGGACCAGGAGGAAGATGATGCCCATTTTTTTCACTTGGCCAATGACAGACAGTGCCATTCACTGGGAAAGTTGGATTTGGAAAGGAATTGGGGTGCTCAGGGGTGGGGAAAAAGAATATGTTTGGGGCCATGGTAAGTTTGAGATCCTTGTGAGGCTTCATGTTTAAATATCCGGATGACCTTTAGTCTTACTATCCCAGAGCGCAAATTAGATTTCTGGCTAGAGGTCTAAATCTGAGAGCCTTGAGATAAATGTGATATTTACAGCAATGAGTGTTGATGAAATCATCTAGAAAAAGGGAGGAGAAAAGGAATATATGTGGAATGTCAATCTCAACACAAACCTATCTATAATCTGAATTTCCAGGGAAAGAGAATGCAAATTGGGGGTCATTTTAATATAATTCCAATAAGTTAAACCAAAGAGTTTAGACTAACACAGAAGAGGAAAATCTATTATTGACCTTGGTCCACAGATTTGCTTAATCACAAATACTTCCTTTGCCATGGATGTCAATGTCATTAACAAAACTCCAAAGGATTTTCTAGGAATCAGGGCATTTAAGAAGTAACTTGATTAGCTGATCCACTGGGGAGTAAATGATAACTAACCATGATAATCGACTCAAATTGATTATTACTTTCTTGTGCACTGTTAAATAAAGTGTTAAATTAAATTTTCCTTTTCAGATTTAGAGTATTGGCTATGTTTTCTGGCTCAGAAAGGTTATTAAGATACAGGAAAGATTTTATTTTCAGAGTAGAAGTGAATTAGATATAGGAGAATTTCTCAGGCCAAAAGAGTTTATTTAGGAAGTTAAAATATTATTGCTGAGTATAAACATTATTATGTTAACTACTATCTTCAAGGTATTTAGTGTCTATAAAAACCTTTCCAAGTTTCTCAAGGGTACTTCCAGACAGAGCTGTACCTCTATTTTTGAGGAAGTTTTAGGCAGACAACTTCAGAACTCTCAAACTCTGAGCCAGGAAATCTCTCAGGAAAGAAACCTCCCACTGCATTTGTCATATTGAAATCCAACTACGCCCAGAGAAAAGATAAAGAAACACAATTAACGGGAGAATATGTTTACATTAGCACCTGTGTATTACAAAGGGGCTTAAACATTACATAGTTAAAACTTACAAGTTTTTTTCTTGGAAATCTGAAGAGCAGCACACAGTGAAAGTAAAACGAATGAAAAAACCTTGGCGTTTTAGAAAATGAATTCTAACTCATGAAAATATAAAATCAGTACCATCTTAATGGATCAGTTTCCTATAACATGACCTTCTCTTATATAAAACATATTCTACCTAATTGCCACCTAACACATGGCTACAAATATGATGGGCATTTATGTATTACAAACAGTCTCAAGCTATATCTCCATAAAAGGCGAAAACTCCTGGAAAAAATTAAATCAGAATATATGAGTGTTAATAAAGCTCTTTTTAAAGTAATAAATGTGGGTGGATTATTTCAGTTGAATCTATTTCTTGAATTGGCTTATTGTTTTTTAAGACAATGGAAGCTTTAACAAAGTGACAAAGTTAAGACAGTTCAGTTTGTAGACCAATTAGGTTTTACATTTGAAGGTCCCCCATGTTTAGAGAAGCAGGCAGGTTTTCATTTGACAAATGTCACTTTGATTTTGAAAATGAACTTAAATGTCAAAGACACAATGCTGGGGATTGCATCCTGAAAACCACAACCTCAGACTTTATCCTTAGACTTAAACAAAAGCCTGGCCAAGGCTTAAAGGACAAAGGTGCCAAAGCCCTGTGTCGGGTCCTCCTTGGCTCTCACCAAGCCTGTTGCAACAGCTTCCTAAGAGATTTTCATTTTCCCTGAGAACTATGCTTTTTTCAGAATTTAGCTCTGGTCAAACATCTCAAGCTTTCTGATCTTGCTCTTTTGTTTAACCAGGGAGCTCAGCAAGGATTGACCAGGTGCTACATTTTCACTTGTTGATATCTTATCCAGCCTTCAAAGTTCTGCACAAAGAATAAATGTCTCAGATTCTTTGCTGTTAGAAATAATTTTCCTGGTGCTTCCATGTAAATATCATCAAGAGCAGGAGCTTTTATTGAAGACCTACTGTGTGCCAGGGACTGTGCTAGCCACAAGTGTTAAATGCTTCTTCTAATTAACAAAAATCTTTGCAAGGAAGATATTACAATCCTCATTTCCTAGGAAAAGAAAGCTGAGTCATGAGGATATGAGTCATGATTATTACGTGACTGAAAGAAAAATAACTTTCTGCCCAAATTTACTTGGTTAGTAAAGCATGAGAAGTATTCAGAACAAGAGCCTGCCTCCATGTTCCAGCCACTTCCCTCTGTAGTTGGCCTGGGTTGGCATTCTACAGGATGACAGGCTTCTTCCGGGCAGAAATTGAGCTTTATTTATCTTCTTATCCTCCAGTATTTAGCACAGCCTCTAGCCCTGCACAGAGCAGAGTGTCAGTAAATAGTGACTGAATGTGTGGGCCCTCTTTTCTTCCTCTTTTTACCAATTAATGTGGCAAACTAGCAAGTAGTCATCCAGAAAGGACAATATAGTGAGAGATAAAAAGTATTTTGATAGCAGTCCATTTGTTCATGCTGGATATTTGAAATCTTTGGAGGTGTGACTTTTGGAGATAAGTAATTATCAAGAAGATAACTAATTATCAAGAATCACATATGGGGGGCCGGCCCGGCGGCGCAGTGGTTAAGTGCGCACATTCTGCTTCGGTGGCCCAGGGTTCGCCAGTTCGGATCCTGGGTACGGACATGACATCGTTTGGCAAGCCATGCTGTGGTAGGCGTCCCACATAGAAAGTAGAGGAAGATGGGCACAGATGTTAGCTCAGGGCCAGTCCTCCTCAGCAAAAAGAGGAGGATTGGCAGCAGGTGTTAGCTCAGGACTAATCTTCCTAAAAAAAAAAATAATAATCACACATAGTCTCTGTTAGCTAGTTTGCAGCTGAATGAATTCCTTTAGCTGATGGGGAGAATGCTATTACAGGTAACGGGGTTTGGACTTACTGGAGTTGAGAGTGTGAGAGTTGGAAGAACTCATCCATCGGAATGGGCCTAAGAAGCTCCACTGGCTGCCTGGATGTAGAAATAACAGGGCGAAGAATGTATCAGCCCTCCTTGGAGGGAGAAGGGACCTCACTAGGCAAGGAACAGTGACCTAGAAATTCCTTAAGATGACATTCAGGGCCTTTAATAATTGCACCCGGTTTATCTCTCTAGCTCATGGTGCCCATCTCCTTGCATTCTAAGCTTCAACCATCACGAATAGCATAAGCAGTTCTCTGAATAAGCCAAGCTCTCTCTCATCTCAGGGGTTTGGACATCCTATTTCTCTGCCTAGCAAGCAGTCTACCCAGCTCTCATTTCTCCCCTCACATCCCAGGAATGTTTATATGTAAGCAGGTCCTGATCAGCTTACTGTCACCTCCTCCAGGAAGCCTTTCTGTCCCCTGAAAGTAGATTAGCTGCTAACTAGCCCCTAGTACTCTGTGCTTCTCCCTACCATAACACTTACCACACTGTGTTATGTTTGCATTGAACTTTTTTCTCACCTGCTAGACTGTCAACATCTTGAACATCTACTAGGTTATTGATTACTGCAATAGTTAATTTTATGTGCCTACTTGGCTAGGCCACAGTGCCCAGATATTGGATCAAACATTCTTCTAGATGTTTCTGTCAAGGTATTCTTTTAGATGAGCTTAACATTTAAATCAATAGACTGAGTAAAGCAGATTACCCTCCATTATGAAAGTGGACCTCATCCAATCAGTTGAAGGTCTTAATAGAAAAAGACTGACCTCCTGGAGGAAGAGCAATTCTGCCTTCATACTGGAACTGCAACTTTTCCCTGGGTCTCCAGCCTAAGTGCCTATCCTGCAGATTTTGGACTTGGCAGCCTCCATAATTTCAAAAGCCAATTTCTAAAAATCAATCAATCTCTCTCTCTCTCTGGAGAACTCTGACTAATAAGTCACCACTGTATCTCTAGCACTGAGCATAGTGCCTGGATTATAGAGCAGATCAAATAAAATTTGATTAGGTTGAATCGATCTGACTTGCAGGAAAGACAATCATATAATGTCAAGACTTCTGTCTCAAGAGTCAGGGACCTGCACAGGTCAAACTATTGTACACAACAATTGGTTTTCCTAACCTAAGAGTTTTTTTCTCCTGATCCAGTGCAAAGAACAGAGGAAATGAGGATAATGCAATTCCCTATCCATTAACATTTTAGCCCGTGTATTGAATATAACTGGTATTTCTACTAAACCTACTTTTAACGATCATAATGGTGCTTATCCAACAGACTTAAATGCAAAATTCTTACAATCTGGCAGAGAAAAGCAAGTGCCTGGTCTTGGTGGTATTACGTCAGATTTCTCAGGTCATTAAGAAGCAGACACTCTCAAAAAGAAAACTCAACCTTTCTGTTTCCCAACATCTTCATCATGGTAATTTAAAATCTACCACGCGTCTTGGAATTACAAAGATTTTAGACTTCAACAAAATTCTTAAAGTGTTTGACAACTCTGGTTCTTAAATGTTCAATGTGAATGAGGAGGTAGTAATAGAAAGTGACCTGGTAGAAGACTTTCTTGTCAGCCAGTCAAGTTAAACTTCTCATCTAGAGCAGCCTAGGCATTTGCTAACCCATGGAAATGCTTAGATGGGTATAGATGAAAGATTCTGGCTAAAGCTTAGGATTTAGTATAGCTAATCTGTGACTCTTAGAGGCAATAATTTGTATTGTGTGTGCAATGAAAAGAATAGGAAGGTCACTGGGCCCAGATATTAAGTTGTTTCTTTGAATGAGACTGATTTGCCCAGCTTTTCAGTAATTTTGATAATTCCTCTGTTTTTCTTCCAGAAAAAAGTGAAATAACACAAGGAAAAAATTATTAAGCTGTTAAGCAACAAAGCTGACAGAATCGAGGAATCAAAGTTGAAAAGAGAAGGGAAGTGGACATTTTACAAATCCACAAACTGGATAATCCATTCCAAATACAAAAAGAAGCATCATTTGTTTCTAATAAACAGTTTCTAGATTACATATTCTTATTTATAATCTAATCTTGTTAAAAATTTTATTCTACTTACAAAGTCTTAACTTGTCTCCAAGTTTTCTTTTTATGTTATTTTGAGAAGTTTTTCTGAAAAGTCTTATAAATAAGTATATACATTTTGGTTTTCCCAGACAAATAAAAGCCATGGTAACAAGTTTCCTGTATGTACTTATTTTTGCTGCAGTTATGCTCTTTTGGGTTCCTAGACCCAGTTCCAATGTGTGTGGAGAGTGTGTGTGGAGGAGGAGTTCTCATGAAACTGGCTTAACACAAGGTTGACATAAGGGAAGCCATATTGTAGAAAAGAGACCATGTAGTAACTTTGAATGACCTCTAACTGACTAACCCAGCTGGATTTGCACCCTCCAGGAGATCCATCTGCTCTGTAGATTTTATGACCCCTGCTAGTGCATATACCTCTCAGCTGTGACAAGACAATAACTTTGAGTTCCTTAGGAATGTGATGACCTCCCCAAACAGAGAATCTATGCTGATAGCCATCATCAATGAAAACTGAGAGATCTGCCATGGTAACTCCCAGTCTGTAACAGCAGAGGGTCAACATTCCTAACCACCTCCCCTATAACCCACTGGCCTATATAGCGGTTTCAAGATTCTGTGCCCCCCTTAAGATGGTTCTTCTGGAGATTAGTCAGCCATCTTCCCTCTTGCTAGCAATCTGTAATAAAATTCCCTTTCTCTGCCACCATCTTGCCTCTTGATGATTGGCTTTTGTCTCACAGCAAGCAGATTGTGCCCCTTGTGCAGTAACAAAATCTGACAAACCAGACAAGACAATAAGTCCTGCTAGTGGCCAGTCAATCTCAGACAGGGTGACCTGTTGGGTAAGTCCCTTGTGGCCACTGAGACTCCTTTTGTCTCAGGGATCTACCCTTCCTGCTCTCCCATGGGGATGCTGGCTGCATCCTAATGCTCCCTATGGTGGAAAAAGAAACCACTACTTCTGGTGGGTCGACCGGCTCACATCTGGAGTAGGGTAAGTCACCTTAGGGGTGCACCACCAAGAACTTTCCTTCCCCCTCCCATCTTGGGTCCCCTCTTTGAGAAGGGGGACCATCTGGTTCCCTGCTGGAGTGGGAAGAGGTATAGGACTTCACCCAAATTCTAGGAACCAGTTCTCTGATGTCTGGTTTTTCTGTTTGTGTCTGTGTCTGTAAAGAGCTCCAGCATCAGACGTCTTTTGGGTGAGCTACCTTGTAGAAATGTGCCTGTGCCTGAAATTGTCTAACATCTCATCAGGATAGTGGGTTAGAGGCCCCACTGGCGAAATTTGTCTACTGGGTTAAAGTCCCAAGGCCAAGACTGTGGGAGACAATATAAAGGGGTTACAGCCACTGGAACACTCAAAAGGATCAGGTTAGAGTCTCAGAGTACCCTGGGTCAGAGTCCCAGAAGTATTGGATTTTGGTATCTCTTCACGTTTGTCTATATCTGACTGTTCTATTTGTTAAAATTGGCTGTTTGGGGACTGAGTTTCTTGGTGATCATAGCAAACTGTCTTTAGAAATTATCTTGTTTGTTGCGACCAATTTGGGAAAAGTTCCTTAAAATGGGGTTAACTGTAAACAGCTGGCAAGATAACCTGGCATAATTTAAAATTACAGTGGTCACTTGGGGCTCTTTTTGAGCCTCCAAAACAGGGAACAAGGAAAAATCTTTAATCTTTAAAGAGTCAAGGGCTCCACCTTTCAAGTGAAAATTTCCAGAAGCTGTAAATGTTTACAGAGAACAGCAGAATCTTACCAAGCTTGTTTGTGTCCTGAGGGCTTGGCTTCATAACTGTTAGGTTGTGGGGAGGAGGTTCCAAAATACAGTGGGACAAAAATATGGTTGTGCTTCATTTTGCGGTAAGAGATAGTCAGACAGAAATGCAGGTTGCATTCCTTTTTGTGGCTAAGAGTCCTACTGAACTGCCATCAGCCTCAGGGGAATTACATTGGCCATTAGAAGAAAGTCTTGGCTGGGCCTTCATTGTAAGGGTCTTGATTTCAGGGATGCTTGAAATTTTTGCAATCTGATTCTAGCTGCAGCATAAATATGCTTTTGACCAACAATGTCTAATTTCTGAAACAATGGGAAACACTAATTCAATCCCCACCTGTATCCCCTTAGTCTGCATTCCCCTGATTTGGGCGACTTTTAGCTACAAGTAAGTCGTATGAGCTACTGAGTCCTCATCATATTGATCCTTCTCTTCCCAAAGACAGCCACTATTTTTCCTTGTGTCTGTTTTGTGTGTGTGTGTGTGTGTATCATTTGTCATGAAAAGGAAAAACCATAGAGCAAGATGCAGGCACTCCATGAGCCTGCTGTCTGGAAGGCCACAGTAGGCTTTGCTGCAGGGCCCGCCTATGGAGTACGCACATAAAGTGGAAGGGCATCTTGGAAGCCAAAAGTGCCACAATATTGGTGGGTGCAGGTTGACCACTTAAGAGCCATTAAGGTGCTCGCCACCTCAAGAAGTCTCCCGTGAAAGGATGAGTTGTTCACGGAACAGGGTAGATGACACAGGTCCCCCTGCCAACTTCAAGAAAAGGTCTGTGCAACGATAAGGTACTCTATAAAGCATACATTATCCCCAACCCCATGGCACCTCCCTCCTAGGTATTATTCTGGCTCTGAGAGACCCAAAGCATAGCTAAAGCTGTTAATGTGCATATAAGATGAGATTTTTTTCCTTTTTTTCTAGTGCTATGTCCTGAGGGCTTGGCTTTGTGACCTCTTTGGTCACAAGGGGTCCCAGTGCATCAGGGGCCTTTGTAGTCTCAACCTTTGTTGCTTGTCAGTGCACTACCACCTGTGCAGCAAAAGCCTTTGCTTTCTTGGACTATTTTTGGGAGTGAAGTTTCTAGATCTTGTGAGGGCTGTTTTTGCACTCTCTTGTCAGGATGCCTCCTACATCCATAGTTAAGCCATAAATGTTTGTAGATATTGGAACATTAAAAAAACTGATAAGGAATATATGCCCGAAAAACTCCATCTTGGAGAAAACTTGAGGGCTTTCTCTGTGTCTTTATGATGTAGTTCGCCAGGGAGATCAACCTATAATGTCACTTGAGTTACAACCCAGTTTCTGAGAAATCAAGAGCAACTGTCCTTGGAAAATCCTTGTAAGGCTGGAAAAGCAGCTCTAGAGGCAGTTCAGGTTCCACCCATTTCCCTTATCTCAAAGAGCTTGCAAATCCTCTGGGGACTACCTAGCCCATCACTAATTCCTAAGACTGAAGGAAAAGAAAAGGAAAAAGGAAAAATACCAGACGAGTGCACTTGCCAAAAATCTAGCATCTTGAATGTCTTCTCCACAAATAGTAAAAAAGGGCTTAAAACAAAAATTTGGACTCATAATAAGGAGCCTTATACCTGATTCATGGCAGTAATCTTAAAACAACAGCTGTACGGTCTCTGTGTATGTGTGTCTATATGTATGTTAAATGTGTGTGATATTTTTACCTCTGGATGATGTGGCCAAAAATTAAGAGCTCTGTTTAATTGGCTTAAAATAAGTGCTTACCTAAATTATTTCTAAATGGAAAAAAATTAACCCAAATGTCTTTTGAGTTAAAATGATACAAAATTCATCTGTCATAACTGAAAACTTATTTAAGGTTGTCGGTTTGATTGAAATAAACATGTCCTTAAAATTGTCAGTACTGGGATATGATGCAGACATGTCTGTATTTATTGGTCAAATAAGCTGATGTTATCGCTACCACAGAACTTGTTAGCAAAAATAGTAACTTAAAATGATGGTTAATTTTATCTAATGTCTCATGAAGTTTGTAGGCAATCTAAGTAACTGTTAGAAGCAAGCGAACTGAATAAATGCAAAAAGGGTAAAAGTTTGGGCAGCCGGCCTGGTGGCGCAGCAGTTAAGTTTGCACGTTTTGATTCTCGGTGGCCCGGGGTTCCTGGTTCGGATCCCGGGTGTGGACATGGCACCGCTCCGCAATAGACATGCTGTGGTAGGTGTCCCACGTATAAAGCAGAAGAAGATGGGCGTGGATGTAGCTCAGGGCCAGACTTCTTCAGCAAAAAGAGGAGGATTGGCAGTAGTTAGCTCAGGGCTAAACTTTCTCAAAAAAAAAAGGGTAAAAGTTTTGGGGGAAACTTTTTAACAATGATTATGTGTTATGATGTAAGCACTTAAAACAATTTAAGATGATCGCTAACTGCTTTAGTGTCACATGACATTTTTGTGAGTAATCTAAATATGATTGTTACAAATAAATGGTCTCGATAGAAGCGAGACAAGACTGTATATGTAAACTTCCAGCAAGAATTATAGTTCATGACATGAGTACTTAAAATAGCTTCCCAAATCTCTTTGGTGACTTGAAACATTGAAGTTTTGCTAGGTTAAACTGAATACTAAAAATTCATTGAGTATCTAGATAATTTCCAAATAAGGTAGAATATTAGACGTTAATTATTAAATCTGGTTTATCTACTTTTGGCTTCTTATTACAAAGAAACTAAAAGGTGTTTGGGTCTATTAGTAAACATGTCTTGTATTTTATTAAGATTGTACCATGAAGTAGTATGTTTCTAGAAATTATAAAAAGTATTTATACATTTGCCAAGCCACAGTATGCTAGCGTAAAAGACAGTTCATAATTGATTAGCTTTTAGTTTTTACTAGGGTCTATAAGGGTTAAAAATTCTAATTAATATATGTAATTAAAGCTACTAAAAATTAATAAGGTAAACATTTTTGTATCTAAGGAAAGTAAAATGTATGTTTTCAGTAAAGAAGGTATAAACAATGGAAATATTTTTGTTTGTTGGGTTAAGAAAGATAAATTTGTCCTAAAGTACTAAAAGAACAAAAGGAAGCATGGGACAAATTCTGAATGTAAAAATGAAAATTATAGAAGGTTGTGAAAGAGCAATTCTGAAAGGAGTTTTATGCCTGGTCAAGTTGGCTAAGATTAAAGTAAATCCAATTAAGTAAATGAGTTTTAACGTAAAAACAAATGAGCTGGTACAAAAATTAAAATTTGGTTTTCTCTCTCAAAAGCACAATTTTCTTGAACTTTTGGTCTGCTCTTGATGAAGAGGTGATAAAAGGATTTTCTTTAAGTTTGAGTGTACCTGAAAGACAG